CACATACAAATAACGAAATGAATTATTTTTGATGAAAACAAATAACATACATTTTGATGAGTGTAAGAGAGAAATAAATCAAAAAGAGAAGGATAAATAGTGTGAGGCGCAAATGGTAAACAAGCAAAATTATAATAAGCAGAAGAAAAATTAATTTAAATCAGCACATAAAGCTATGGTTTGAATTAAAATGCAAATTTTTGTATTCAAAAAATATTATGTACGAATTATATGCGACATTTTCAATTGGGTATTAAGAGAGGAAATATATTGTAATAAATTATGATATTTTAGTGGAATAAAAATGTAATGGATATATTTTATAATGAATAGAGAAGGTTATTATAATAGTGATAGTGATAGTAGTGATAATGATAATAACAATAATAATCAAATAAATGATTATTGTTCATGTTGATGAGACGATATTTCCAAAATGATCCATTGATGTGATGCAATTACCATCGGAGACAACCATTCCACTACGACTCACATGGACACGTTTCAATCCTCTCTTCACAAATGCCTTATCATCTTGCTTCAAAAAAAAAATTTTTTTTTTTTTTTTAAAATTAAAGTTGTATAACAATTATAAGAGTCTAAATGAACTTTGAACTCTGAGATAATACTGTAACTTGATTCTTTTAGAATTATTTAATCACTATAAATACAAATCGCTATAAGTATTTCAAATCTTCTCTTTTAAAAAACTATAAATTTTCTTTTTAACTTTTTTTTTTTTTTGCGAAGGATCATTGCCCTCAGATGAATTTTTGTTGATAATATTTATTGACGTTACTTTTGATTAATTACGCTGAATAGATGAAAAAAAAAAAAAAGAAGATTGATTAGTAAAATTGTTTTTTTTCGTTTTTTGTCAATTTATCAGTTTAAAATAGTCGAAAAATTTCTTTAAATATTGAAAATATTACAAAATTATAAAAAATAGTAATTAGGGAAGTTAATGTTATTTTAATAAGTCTAACCTGAACAGCCATATCAACCATATTAGTACGTACATGTATGATACCATCAGACGGTGAGCAACTAATATGCTTTGGACGACAATTGACCTCTACGTCACCACGTTCATCTTGCTTTATGTAAACTCCTTGAAATTAATTTTGTCACTTACAAATGTCACATTTATATTATCAATAGCCAGATCATGTTGTAATTTGTTTTTTATGACGTAATAACACGTAATCATACGTGAAGAAGAAATTGTACAAAAATTAATGAGAAAAAAAACCGTTAATGGTAAGCGTGAGAGTACCATCGTCACGTGTTCCATAACGAGCTTCCTGTACGATTGTATTACATAATTCTGTGAACTGAAATAAAATTCAATTCAAATTCATATTCAAACTTACATTTATAGTATAAAGTTGGATTGAAATACTCCTTTTCAACTTCAAATTTACTTTATTATAAGTAAGTTTAATTCAGTATAAATTTTCAGTCATATTATTCCATCTCTTCAACTTATCATTCATCTCAAAATAATAAAAAAATTAAATTAAAATTCTCTAATTGATGTTTGAAATATTTTCTATTTATGACTATAAAATTTATTGAAATTTAATAAATTTTCTTTTTTTTTGAGAGAGATTTAAAAGTTAAAAATAAATTTGAGAAATAAACTTTGACCTGATCACCATTTTGTGATTCAGTGAAAAACATGCGTACAGTGAAATCATAATCTAAACTTGGGAACTGTAAACGTCCAAGGGAAATGGATAAGGTCCCTTTAACAACTGTTGAAGATACCAAATAAGCTTCACTAAGATGTGACATCGTGAATAATACACCGTGTGTACCGAATACTGCTGCTTTCTCGTTTGCTAATACTAAATTTAAATTTCAAAGTTTTGAATTTTAATTTAAAAATATATTAAATTAAATTCTTTCATATCTGATTAATACTATAAGTTATTTTATCACAATAAGAAAATCGTTTAAAATATTACAATAAATTTCAAAATAAACTTACCGGATGATCCAAAATTGCAAAAAACTTTTTCATCCTGCTGGAAGATACGAGCTTTTTTATGCAATATGCATGAATTACTACCACGAGCATTGCATACTGCCTAAATTAGTCTAATTAATTAGATAAAAAATATGATTTTTGATCTAATAAGTTAAATAGTATAACTTTGATAGGTTTTAGTACATTTAAAGAAAGAATGAGTGGATAATTTTAGTATTATTGATTTAAATAAAACATTCGATAGTACTCATATAGGCTTATATTTTTATTTTGTTTATTTTTTACCGAAAATTTATCGTGACAAAGGACTCGAATAGCTCGATCAACGGCCACCTGAAATTGATAGTGTCGCTGTCGCAGAAGAAGGCGAAAGAAAAGGAAGATGAAATATTGTATAAAGTAAATGAATAAAATCTATCATTTCATTAACATTAAACTCTAATATTGAAATATAACATTTAATTATTGATTGACTAATGAAAAATTAATGCGTAAATGATGAAATTCTAAAAAAAAAAAAAATTAAACAATAAAAGACAAGTT